GCCTCTTCTGGTTGCACTTTGGGCACCTGCCCTGATGCTCAAATCCACGGCTAAAGCTACTGTGTGGCTCATCCCAGCACACCAAGCACACGTGCTCTCTGGGAGCTGCTCAGGTGTTCTCCCTTCAAGTTCTTCAGCCAAGCTCTAAGGTATTTCTTCTGCCCAACAAACAGCCTCAAACGGATGCTTTTATTACAAATTCTGTGAGTAGTTTAGAGACAGGTACTCTGCTTGCCAGGGCTCATTTGATTCAGCTGGAATATTACGGCCCTAAGGGAGATCATTTCAACTCCCTCCCAAGGTCAGGTAAAAATGCAGCATCTAAAGCTGTTTTTAATCTCACCAGAAATTTCTCCCAACTTTTGAAGAACATTTCATCCACTCTGCCTTAGAAGGTGCTATAGCAAACCAGTTAACAGCATGAAGGCTGAAGCCAGATGGTCTAAGTAGGAATTCTGGTTCTGCCTAGCTGTGTAGTTGGCCAAGTGAGCTCTCCTTTCTGGCTTTACTATGAAATGGGCTGACAATCATCACCTGCTTCCAGGGTTGTTCAAAGAATCAACTGTTTTGAGGAATACAGTTCACGTGGCACCTGGCATGAGGCAAGAGTGCAGTGATCAGCACCCACCCGTTACTGCTAGCATCAGGACAGCAGTAACAACCTGCGTAACTGCTCTCTCCCTGACCCCTGCAGGAGGGTGACAATCGTGGGTGTGACACTCCCCAGCCTGCCCTGAGCCCTGTGATAAAGCTGGTGGCCCTCCAGTTCCCCAGCCCTGGCAGAGCATAATCAGCTCACTTCTGCTTCGAGTAGAAGATATTTTACAGCATAAAAGCTCAAAGACCCAAAAAGGCAAATACCAAGTTTCCACTGACTTGTGGTAGCTAAAAAATAGAGTAAAAAAAACACATTTAATGTATATGAGCAAAATTGACATCTTATGATTTCATTACTATTTATAACCCTTGTCTATATTCCTGCATTTTAGAGGAGCATTAAGCCTGTCACTATAAAGTAAATTGAAAAGTAGGTGACTGCAAAATATTAACAGAAAATTTGAGGAAGAAGGGAGGGAAGAAACTATCATTATATTCTTTGAATCATATCTATGAAATACATAAAATCTGTTCTCTATATTAATAAAAATATAAAACACATATTTTTAAAAAGCTTAAAGAAACTTCATAGTCTCCATCTCAAAATGTGTACCCTCTTTCACAAATGCCACCTCTATCTTCTGGAGTACATATATTTAGATATGCTTATATCTCGCTATATATTTGATATATATTATCTAATATACCAAAAAACTGAGCAACCAGAAGAATATGCCTGGGAACAGAAAGAATCAGAGTTGGTTTGCTCCAAAATGAAGCATGAGAGTATACAATGCAGGAGGACTATGAAATTATAGTAAAATATCTGAGGATTCAAATGGGGCTTGAACTTTGTCTTTTTGAAACCTATTTTTTAAAATTAACTAAGAAAATTCACAGTGGAATCAAGCTTAGAGGATGTATAGACTGGTTATTCATCTTTTTAAGAGAACAAATGAGGGGCCTGCATTGTGGCCTAACAGGTTAAGCCACTTCCCATATGGGCACTAGTTCAAGGCCTGGTTGCTCCACTTCCGATCCAGCTCCTTGCTAATGTGCCTGGGAAAGCAGCAGAAGATAGTCCAAGTGCTTAGGCCCTTGCACCCTCATAGGAGACCTGGAGGAAGCTCCTGGCTCCTGGCTTCAGAAAGGCCCAGTCCTGGCCATTGCAGCCATTTGGGAGTGAAACAGCAGATGGAAGATCTCTCTCTCTCTCTTTCTCTCTCTTTATTTTAAAGATTGTATTTATTTGAGAGGTAGAGTTACAGACAGAGAGAGGGAGAGACAGAGAGAGGTCTTCCATGCGCTGGTTCACTCCCCAGATGGCTGCAATGGCTAGAGATGCACTGATCTAAAGCCAGGAGCCAGAACCTTCTTCCGGGTCTCCCGTGTGGATGCAGAGGCCCTAGGACTTAGGCCATCTTCTACTGCATTCCCAGGCCATAGCAGAGAGCTGGATCGGAAGTGGAGCAGCGTGCTCACTTTGGCAGCATATATACTAAAATTGGAAGAGGAGCAGCCAGGACTAGAACCAGCGTCCATATGGGATGCCGGTGTCGCAGACAGAGGATTAACCAACATGCCACAGCGCCAGCCCCCATCTCTTCTTTCTGTAACTCTGCCTTTCTTTCAAATAAGTAAAATAAATCTAAAAACAAAAAAAAGAGAATACAACTCTCAAGAGCAGCCACTGATGCATGCAAACAATGGATGTCTTACTATAAAACTGAGCTAGTTTTACACCCAAAAATAGGATAATCAGTACTTGATGACTTTTCTTGGCATCCAAGGTCAGCTTATGGTTGCAAACTGTATAATCACATTTTAAAAATGTCTTTGTATAATTCAGAATTATTTCTAATTCAATTCTTTCCCCTCCATCAGTGTTTTCCACTTCAATGGTCAACCCTACTACAGGCCCTCAGTTAAGTCCTCCCGCCTGAGCTGACACCGATTTCTCAGCTCCATGCACTGCTTTCCCAGATCCACTCTGCACAGCACTGCCAGTCTCATCTTCCTGTGATGCAACTGCTCTGCTCACACGACCTTCCTTTATCTGCCCTTGCACACACAGACACAGCAATAATGCCAGGAGGAAATCTCAGTTCTTAAGCCTGGTACCTTAATTCCAGGTACCAAAAGCCATGGAATTCCTTCCCAAGTTCATTTTCTACCATATCCCTTTAAGAATTTCAGACATTGGCTAGACTGGACAACTGCCCTGGGCTTTCCTGCTACTCCGATACTTCTAACAAGCCCTACACCCATAGAGTGCCAATCACATCCCCACCGGCTGACGTCCTAGTCATCCTCCAAGGTCAACCAAAACATCACCTCCTCAACAAGTCCCCAGTAACTGGCACTTGTGACAAACTATCCTGCGCCTTAGAAAGAACATTACTCTGTGAGAAGCACCCTGAAGGCAAGAACTGTGGCATACATGGCAGGGTCGGGGTGGGAGGACTATCGTGGCCTCTCAGAGTCTTTAAGGTCAATCAGTGAGACTGATTGACCCGGGAGGTAGGAAAGTCCCTGGAGACTGAAGGCTTTGGACACTAACTCATATGACTGCCTTAAGAAGAGGCATTCAGGTTTCCACTAAAAAAGACAACACAATTCAGGAGGAATGTTAGGGAATCAGGTATAATCTGGATTAATTAAATCATGATTTGCTGAAATCTGTTTACCTTTTAATTCATCAAACATCAAAGGCAAATTGGAAAAGATATAAGTTTCTCAAAATGTTACTCAACTGATCCTTACTACAGTAAATTGTCAAAGCTTTTAAGATGGTATCTTTCAGTATAAAGGAACACACACTTCTAATTATTACGTACAACAGTTTAAGGGTTCGCCACCTGCATGTCTCTTGCTGTAATTTTAAATATGACTTAAAAGGAGACTCCACAGCTATAGGGAAGTGAAGGAATTGGTAATGCAAACAGAAGAAAAGGTCTCCCATTTTACTTAAGTACCATTGACACTGGCGTACTAAGAATGTGTCTGTCAGGAATGCTGTAGAAAGAACAAACTGGCTCACAGATTAAAGACACGTCAATTATTTCATGACCAAATGTCAAACAGAAAAACTGCCTGAATGGTTCAGAAGTCTATCACATCATACCACATTTGGCCCACATCTAATGGCATACAAATCATTTATCATTAAAGGCCTTTTAATATAGGTCAAGGTTGCTGGGGCTTGGTGTTTTGTATCTTCACAGTTTAAAGAATGCTCTAAATTCTAGGTTTTTTAACTTTCTAATCTATGGGGAAGAAAAACTAAAACTTCCTATAAACTCAGATTAGTGCTAATGCACGGAAGAAAGAAAAACGAAAACCTTCTTCCTGCTATAAAAACAAAATAGTGTGGCCTCTGTTTCTTTTCTGATAAGAGTCTTAAATACCAAACAGTTAACTGCATAATAACATTTACTGGCAGCCAGGCAGCCTGCTTAGCAGATATATAAAGCAGGTAAAAGGAGAAAAAGTTAATTTCTTGGCTGAATGATTCCATCGGTAGCTATAGGGCAAACCTGAAAGTCTTTTAGTAAAGTAGCAGTTGATTCTTCTATCAATCTGTAGCACACATACTCTTCCAAGGAAAGCATTAAATATGAAAATCATATCCCGTTATCATCTGTTTCCAGCTTTCAGCCCAGTAAGCTTTTCTTAATGAATGCTGCAGCCTAAGGAACAAGCACGCTGTTGGCTTTTCTGAATAATGGAGTGATGCTACCATTTTTGCTTATTACAATATCGACTGGCTGAGGGGGTTTCACACATAGTCACAAGTGACTACTCTTGCCAGCATGCTCCAAGTTATTACAAGATGTTTTTAGACATTTCATCTAAAAGAGCTTTACTGCTTTTAGTGAAGAAAACATCTATGGTCTTGAACAGAATCATTTATATGGAGATAGGCGGGAGGATTAGAAGCCTGCATTACGGCAGATACATGGCAGAATTTATTTAAGTATTCCTTGTCGGTCTTTTTGTCTATTGCTTAGATATGCAATCTTTTCTTTTCACTTTCTCTGTGAAAAGGTGGAAATGTACGAAATTATATATACAAAGAAAAGAACCGAAATGCCACTTTTTGTTTACTTTTCATTTAAAACATTTCTCAAACGAAGAAAAAAGCAGCTACAAAGCATTATTTGTAAAAACACAATATTACCTACAAACAACACTGAGGTTTTTTGTATCTTAAGCATGAAGTGACTGCGTTTAGGCAAATTTAATTACACATTAAAGCAATACTCTACAAGCAAAAATCTGTAAACAGTCATTTAAAGTTTAATAGAAAAAGATCTTTGTAATAAAATGATTTTATGTAAAACCATTAAAAATATGAACATTCCAAAAATCTTCGAGAAACAGGAAGTTTACCATTGTATTACCTTTCTTCTGTCTTGATCTTTCAGTTCACCTTTTATTTCTGGGCTGTCTTTTGAGAGTAGCTGCATCTTCTTAATCTGAGTCTCATATTCAATCTAAAAATAAGCAAAGTTTGATTTTGTGGTGGATGTTAATAGAACTAAGTAACCTATCTGTATCCCACAGTATAGTACATAAAAGGAAGAACAAAACCAAAAGTAAATGCTGATATTGCTAATAAAGTCAACTTATCTTAGAAAATAAACAACTTTACAAATCACACATATCAGAAGTTGAATTCTATAAAATGTTATTTACATTTTTTAATCAAACAAAACTTGATGGATTTTAACTCAATCATCAATTTAGGGGATAAAACTTTTATGTATCATATATATGAAATTCATGTCATAATACAATTTCTTACATATATGAAAATTTGATACTTTCATTAAGCTATCATAAATATCATAAGCAAAGGAAATATAAATCAATCCTACTGACTTCTTATATAATATCACAGTCCTAATAGAGCAATTGAGTGTATTATTTGCTAGATCAACTTAAATTCCGTTTTGTAGGAATTAAAATATGCGGTAGCCATTAATGATCAGCACTGTAAGAATCAAGTTTTCTTTCGCACTAATAACTACACAAAGATGCCTGCATCATTATCACGCTAGAATTGATGAAAGTGATTCAATCACAAATGACTTTGTCTTAAAAGCAAGGCATAAAAAAGCACTCTGATTCAGTACATTAGTAATTAAAGCCTTCAAAAAGTCACTTATTGTGGTCTATCACAGATAAATATCAGAACGTTTTCTAAATGAGACAGTTATGCACTGCAATTAGGAATACCTATGAGATGATCAAATTAGAAAGCTGTTGCCTTAGTTCTCAGTCTGAACACAAAATTGGCCTGAGCTCTATTTTGACACACAAAAAATGAACAATCATAACCAAAATTGAACTGTTTTCCACGAAATATTTTAAAAGGTATTACAACTGTCCCATTTTTACTGATAGGGTGTTTTTTTTTCCTCTAGCAGAATGCTATTAACATGATAGAAGGGCAGTAATGATATAAATAGATACCTAATTAAATAAAAGTTTTTCAAGGCCTGACTAAATGATAAAATAATAATATAAAGTGAAGCTAAAGACATAAAGCAATTATGAAAATACAATTTACACCTCTCTGCTGTATGATTTATACCTTTGAACTTACAGATGTTTATGCTTTAACCCCAAAAGCTTTAAAAAGGCATAGTTTACAATTTCCAAGGGACTGTGACTTTACAAAGGGATGGGGAATGGGTTACAATATAAATATACAGTTAGAGGTTAAACAAAAATCCTTTTCTCCTGTGACTACTAATGTTTTCCTATGCTGAGATCAATGGGCCCTGGTGCTGATATCCTCATTATGGGAACATTTCAGAGCCACACCTTCAAAAGACAGACAGCACTTTCTCATGGGAACACGAAGTTTTATTCAAGTCATTTTGCTGAAGCAAAAAGGACATGATCACTAAACAAAGGCCTTCTAAAGAACAGTATGAAAACTGACTTCAAGAGCCTAATTTTGATCATTCTGAACACATTTGGAAAACTTACTGACCTGTAGGTAATCCTTCTCTAAGTTAATGATGCAAGTAAAAACCATATAATGTATTTTAAAATCAAAGAAATACTATGATAAATTGACTGACACTAACTCTGGCTCTGCATCCCCCTGGAACAGAAGTGTGCAACATCTAGGCCACGTGCTATAAAGGCTTGTGAAATCATTTGGTCTGGCCCTACCAAGGCAACCACGGGTGGACTCAAAATTCAATAAATCTACAGCAGGCTAATTTTTAAGTTGATACTTTTGGATGGTCCATAAATGGTATTCTAAATATCCAATCTCCCTTTGCAGAAAAAGGTTTCCCACCCCTGTCCTAATAAGATGGATTTCTACCTAAAAATACCTTCTCTTTCTTTGCCTTTTATTTTTACATACAACTAGTTATTATCCATCAAATATACCTCCTCAACACTGGAGAGCATGGGTTTTCACCCATGGCGCTGCATTTAAGCAAAGGGTTCTACTACCTTTAAAGGTTTTTTTCAGTTTGGAAAAATACTATATAGATGAATCTTTCCAGAACCTTCCTAGGTAAAAATATCTGATACAAAACCAGAGTGCATGTCCTTATTTGCTTCTACATTTCCAATAGTTGGTCTTTGGTGTTTTATTCCTAATTTCTTCTCTGATCTCATGTTTGTCCTCTATTTCCACCATACATCGGGGCTTACAATGCATCCCTTCCCTCTGATGTCAACTCCCATCCTTATTCCCTTCCTGCCTAGACTTCTGCCATCAGATCTGTTGTTTCATGGACCAGCTTGCTCATGCCCCGATGTCCCATTAGTATCCTCTGATCTGCAGCCCCTCTAAGGATAACCCCCTCATCCCTCCCACCCCAGGGAAAAATCTCTTTTAATAAACCAGGAGCTCTGAGTTATCCCAGGGGACAACTTGTTCTGTTAGTGGCCTGCTTCATGGGACACGCACCCAGGATCTTGACCCAAGGTGGCACATAATAAGGCCTCAGGAAGCTCTGAGACTCTCTCCGTGACTGCGAATTTATTCTCCTTGATTTTTTTTTTGTCGGGTTCTCTTACGGACCATGAACAACCACATGAAAACTCATGTGGTACTGATCATACCCTAGGTTATACCTTCCTTGGAAGCATCTGTGTTTAACAGCACAGGCATTCTGAAGATATGTTATTTTAAAATATATGGTATTCCCTGAAAATTCAGTCAAGGACAACAGGCACCTGAGGAAAATTAAGTTAGGACCAACCAGGGCTCTCTCTGTGCTAGTAGCTACTGTGGGAAGACACAAACCTCACAGCACTACTAACCCAAGGACCTACATCTGCTATTTTCCACATCTGAAAGTACTTGTAGCATTATAACTGCAATACTACATTTTCCAAACTACCTAACAGATCAATAGCCCTAAAAAGTCCTAAAAAGTATAAGCCCCTGGTGTATTATAAACCGTAAAACCAGATGAGTGTTTTCAGTGTTCAGCCCATTCTAAGGAAATTTACTATTTTATAACAAGGGAAGCCTAGTCCACCTCTATAAAGAGGGAGAGAAACACCGAGTAATTGGGGCAAATACCCACTTCTCCCACCTCACTTCACTTTCTGGAATTCTACCAACTAGAAGTTCATCTGCATTTATTACTCTGTTCAAAGAGGAAGACCCCAGGCATTCTGGGGTTTATAAGCAAGGCACTGTGAACACCTTTCTCCTATGACTTACATAAGCAGGTAAGATCTCCTTCCTGAACAGCACAGCACTAGCAAGAGATCGGGGGTTCTGGAATATCTAAGGTCACACCGGACACACACAAAAAGCAGCAGCAGAAGGAAGTGGGAAGATACCCCATCTTGTTATGCCCAAAAGTAAAGCTAGCTCAAAATTCATGGAGTCAGGTCAAAGAGATACAGGAACCAATCTGAAGAAACACTTCACTGGCCAAATTTGGGACTTCAGGAAAAACAAAGAGACTAATTACTGTAACTGATAATATCCTGACTACCAATTCACAAATCTTGATATTTAAAAAAAGGGGGAGGGGGTCAACACTGTGGCACAGTAGGTTAAGCCTCTGCCTACGGCACCAGAACCCCCTATGCATGCCGGTTCGTGTCCCGGTTGTTCCTCTTTTGATCCAGCTCTATGTTAATGGCCTGGGAAAGTAGTGGAAGATGGCCCAAGTGCTTGGGCCCCTGCACCCACATGGGAGACCCAATAGAAGCTCCTGGCTCCTAGCTTTAGACCAGCCCAGCTCCGGCCATTGCAGCCATTTGGAGAGTGAATCAGCAGATATAAGATGTCCCTCCCTGTCTCTCCCTCTTCTCTCTCTCTGTAACTCTGCCTCCCAAATAAATAAATAAATCTTTAAAAAGGGGGGGGGGGGCACTGTGGCATAGCGAGCAAAGCTGCAATCTGCAGTGCTGGCATCCCATATGGGCACCAGTTCAAGTTCCGGCTGCTCCACTTCGGATCCAACTTTCTGCTATGGCCTGGGGAAGCAGTAGAAGATGGCCCAAGCCCTTGGGCCCCTCCACCCACATCGGAGACCCGGAAGAAGCTCCTGGCTCTTAGCTTCTGGCTTCGGATTGGCGCAGCTCCAGCCGTTGCGGCCAATTGGGGAATGACTTCTCTCTCTCTCTCTCTCTGCCTCTCCTTCTCTCTCTATGTAACGCTGACTTTCAAATAAATAAATAAACCTTTAAAGAAAAAGAAAGGGAAAACAAAAGAATGAGGAAGGAAGAGAATGCTTCTCATTATAGAAGAAAGTGAAATAATTGTATAAAACAGAAAATCACTATTTCACATCCCCACCATAATAACTGGTTCAGAAAACAACCTCATCAACAGATCCTAATAACCATTAGGAGAAGGCTATTAAAGAACACAATGGTTCTGCCACAGAAGGGGGAAAATGATACCTTAAAACAGGGACATCTAGATAGAGTTCACTAACTAAGGTCCTGATTAAGGTATCAAAGTCAGCCTCCCTGGGGCATAGCAGGTTAAGCCACCCACACACATCCCATAGCAGAGCACTGACTGGAGTCCAGGCACCTCTGCTTCCAATCCAGCTTCCTGGGAGACAGCTGATGATGGCTGAAGTGCCGTGGCCCTGGCTTCAGCCTGGCCCAGCCCTAACTGTTACAGGTATCTGGAGAGTGAACCAGCAGATCCAAGATTCTTTCTCTCTCCTTCCCCGCTCTTTCTGTCACTCTGCCTTTCAACTAGATGAAATAAATAAACTTAAAAAAAAAAAAAAGTCGGCTTCACTCAGGTAGGACCACCTGTCCTCATGGGCCTATTTAAATTTAAATTAATAAAATTAAAAATACAAGGGCACTTCAAAAAGTTCATGAGCAATGTGCATTATCAAAAAACTATACATGAATTTTGAAATTATTTTGCACCAAAGGATATTTATCTTTTTTTTTTTTTAAGATTTATTTATTTAATTTGAAAGGCAGAGTTACAGAGAGGCAGAGGCTGAGAGAGAGAAAGAGAGGTTTTCTATCCATTGGTTCACTCCCCAATGGCTGCAACTGCCGGAGCTATGCTGATCCAAAGCCAGGAGCTTCTTCCAGGTCTCTGACGTGGGTGGAGGGGCCCAAGGACTTGAGTCATCTTCTACTGCTATCCCAGGCCATAGCAGAGAGCTGGATCGGAAGTGGAGCAGCCAGGACGCAAACCGATGCCCACATGGGATGCCGGTGCTGCAGGCGGCAGCTCTACCTGCTATGCCACAGCACCGGCCCCAGGATACTTAGCTTTTAATCTCATTTTTCCTGAAAACTTTAGTACCTTCAGTGTCCCAAATCACAATTTAAGCACTCAGTTGTCAATTTTGGCTAACAATGACGACATCACACAGCACCACCACAGGACATTTTTATCACTGCACAAAGTCCTACTGGATGGTGCTGGTCTCAACCACATTTCCACTTACAAGAAATACAGCATACTATACGAGTAAATAATACCCCAAATTCAGAATGCGATCCATTCTACAAGTTGCTGGCCCGCTTTATTCACAATAGTCAGTGTCATGGAAAATACCTGTCTCCTGGTATGGAAAAATTAGATATTTTTTGAGAGAACTGGGGAAATTTAAACATGGGCTGGATATTAAATGGTATGTGGAATTATCATGAATTTTCTTAGGTGTGAGAATGATATTATGATCATGTAGGAGACTGCCCTTGTGTTCAGAAGATCCACACTTAGGAGCAAAGTATCACTATGTCTGCAGACTTTCAATGAATCAGAAAAAAATGCAAACACATATACTAAATCAAGAAAAATATAAGGGTATTTCAAAAAGCCCTTGGAAAATGGAATCAAGAGATAAGTTAATTTTGGGTGCAAAAAAAAAAAAAACTTAAATCCACACATAGGTTTGTTTTTTTTTTTTAAGTGTAGTATTCACAGCTTTACTGAAAAGTGTAAAATGTATAGAGACAGGCCGGCGCCGCGGCTCACTAGGCTAATCCTCCGCCTTGCGGCGCCGGCACACCGGGTTCTAATCCCGGTTGGGGCGCCGGATTCTGTCCCGGTTGCCCCTCTTCCAGGCCAGCTCTCTGCTGTGGCCCGGGAGTGCAGTGGAGGATGGCCCAGGTGCTTGGGCCCTGCACCCCATGGGAGACCAGGAAAAGCACCTGGCTCCTGGCTCCTGCCATCGGATCAGCGCGGTGCGCCGGCCGCAGCGCGCCAGCCGCGGCGGCCATTGGAGGGTGAACCAACGGCAAAGGAAGACCTTTCTCTATGTCTCTCTCTCTCTCACTGTCCACTCTGCCTGTCAAAAAAAAAAAAAAATGTATAGAGACAATACATTTCATTTGCAAATTAAATAGCTTAGAAGTATAGATTAGAACATGACTTTTATCAAAATTATCCACTATCAAATTATTCATATCGAGTTTTCTGCAGATTTGGGATTTTTCCCACTGGATTAATAACATATAGTAGGAAGTCCAACTGATAACATGTTCATTAAAAAAAAAAAAGGAATCAGGAAAATCAAGTTTTCTTAAGGATTTCTGGATTTTTGTCCTTGGAGGAGGTCAGGATCTTCCCAAGGCCTGTGTCCTCAAATATTCTTCCAATCATCAAAAGTAGAGTCCTTTATTTTCTCATACTCTGACTCCAAAGAAACTTTATTCGTTTTCAGTTTTTTTCCAATTCAGGATCAATTTTAATCTTCACAGCATTGTATCAGATTTGTGAAAACTCACGAAGACCAAAAGAACCTCCAACAATCAGCAACAACATGGGGACTCCGTACCGAAGGGTCTTGTTCTTGCGCAGGGCACGCATCACTGCGGGGGGCAAGCATGGCACAACTTCCCCACTCACCTAGGCGCCCTTCCCTGCCTGCCCGACCCCACGCTCCCGCCCGGCGCGGGACATCTGTCACTCCCATAGTTTTTTCATAGCATGCATTTTCCATGAACTTTTTGAAGACCTCTTATAGCCATAGATTTCAAATAAAGGGGGACTCATTCCAATAATTCTTTGAATGTCTTTGTATATTTGAAATATTTACAATAAAAGGCTGAGGAAAAACTGCTGGAGGAAAAACAAGGGAACTACTGAGGCCAATTCCTCCTGTACCGGTGTTCAGCTGGGCTAACTTGAGCAACAATGCCGGACTAGTGCAGAGCAGGAGGTAAAGGCCTCGCCCCTAGCCTCAAGGCTTGGTGGGACTTGCAGAGCAGCAGGTCACCCAGCACCTTGAGACAACAGGGTGGCAGAGTCAGAGCCAGGAAGTAGAGCTGCTTCGGGCTACACAGCCCAGAAGCTCCAAGACGAGAGCCTCAGGGCCAGCTCTGCCCCAGTTCTTCCCCAACACACAGTTTCACCAGAAGGCAGGAGTCCAGAGAAAAGGCCCTTCAGAGAGGGAAGCCACTTTTAGAGGGACCCAAAAGCTGCTCAAATGCAGTCATCCAGCCAACGAACACCATGTGTCAGACACTGTGCCATGTGCTGGCTACAGAGCTTACTTGTGCTATAGAAATCCCAGTCATTCCTCAACTCAAGTGGAAGTCTTCGAAACTATAATTTCAGGGCTGGCATTGTGGTGCAGGGGGTTAGGTTGCCATCTGCCACGCCAGCACCTCCTGTGAGCACAGGTTTGATTTCCAGCTGTTCCACTTCTGATCCAGCTACCTGCTAATGTGCCTAGGAAAATAGTGGAAGATGGCCAAGTGCTTAGGCCCCTGCCACCCACATGGAAGATCAGGATGGAGTTCCTGGCTCCTTGCTACAGCCCTGGCTGTTGCAGCCACTTAGGGAGTGAACCAGCAGATAGAAGCTCTCTCTCTCTTTCTACCCCGCCACACTCCTGCCCACCATAACTCTGCCTTTTACATAAATTTTATAAAGATTTTTTAAAGATTTATTTTGAAAGTCAGTTACAGGTGAGAGGGAGAGACAGAGAGATCAACAGAGATCTTCCATCCACTGATTTACTCCCCAGATAGTTGCAATGACCAGGGCTGGGCCAGGCCAAAGCCAGAATCTTCATTTGGGTCTCCCACATGGATAGCAGGGGCCCAGATACTTGGGCCATCTTCTTCTGCTTTTCTCAGGGCATTAGTTGGGAGTTGGATCAGAAGTGAAGCAGCTGGGACATGAACCAGTGCCCACATGAAATGCCAGTATCACAGTCGTCAGATTCACCTGCTATGCCATGACCCCAGCTGCAATAAATAAATCTTTTTTAAAAAATACAGTTTCAAGTTCTTTGATCAAACTGGCCACATGGTAATTCACAGAAAGTTGTTTTTAATATTTATTAATATTAGTAGCTGTCACTGATTGGAAACTTACTATTCATGATGAATTTAGCAAAAAAAATTTTTCAAAAACCACATACGCAAAATAAACTGTCACCTTCAGGTCTTGGAGCTTCTTTGTGTTTGTGGTAAACTGTCCAACATGAGCTTGCACACGTTCACACTGCTTTAGATACTCTTTGTTTCGAGTCTGAGCCCTCCGCTCAGCTTCGCATATTTCCTTGAGGTATTTCTTTAGTTTCACATACTTCAGCTTCTCCCTGGGGAAATAAAAGCGGATTTTTAAACAATGGAGTTAAAGTCTGACAAAGCTAAGGAAAAGAATTTCTTTCACAAAGCTGTTAGAGACTCAATGTTTCCTAAGATATTCTACTCAAAGCATTGAAAGCTAACGGATAGAATGTATAGACCTTTTTAGAGAAAATTAACGCCCAATCACTGTGGTGTCATAGTGGTCACATCTAGGCATAACTCTCCTGAGAAGCGTAGACAAGACCATATTAGAATGTTCACACAGTAAAGATGTACATGGATTTATTTCTCTAAATTAACTGTGATATCAAGAGCAGAGTTAGGACTGGCACTGTGGCATGGCAGGTAAAGCTGCTGCCTGCAACACCAGCATCCCAAATGGGTGCCAGTTTGTGTCCTGGCTGCTCCACTTCCGACCAGCTCCCTGTTAATGAATCTAGGAAGATGGCCCAGGTGCTTGGGTCCCTGCACCCATATGGAACACCTGGAAGAAGCTCTTGGCTCCTGGTTTTGGGCTGCTCAGCCCTGTCTGTTGCAACCATCTAGGGACTGAACCACCAGATGGGAGATCTCTTTTCCTCTCCCTCTATCTCTCCTTCTCTCCCTGTAGTTCTGACTTTCAAATAAATAAATATGAATCTTTAAAAAAAGTTAAAAATCTACTCTTAATATTAAATAAACTAGAAATATACATGTATATTATGCACTGTTTATAACAGTTTTAATAATCATTCTCATATACTCATAAACAAATGAGACAAGTAATCTTGCCTACATCAGTTTACTAAAACATCAATGAGAGTAATTATAACTTAATCACTGCACAAGGTTAATGTGTTTAAATTGTGACCAAAAGGACAAAACTATAATTTATATATCTTTTTTTAAAAAAGATTTATTTATTTATTTGAGAGCTAGAGTTATAGACAGGAAGGAAGAGACAGAGAGAGAGGTCTTCCATCTGCTGGTTCACTCTCCAAATGGCCACAACAGCCAGGGCTGGGTTGACCTGAAGCCAGGAGCCAGGAGCTTCTTCTGGGTCTCCCATGTGGATGCAGGGGCCCAAGAACTTGGGCCATCTTCCACTGCCTTCCCAGGCCCAGCTGAGAGCTGGATTGGAAGGGGAGCAGCCAGGACTAAAACCAATGCCCAATGCCCGTATGTGATGCTGGTGCCATAGGCATACGCATAGTCCATTACACCACAGCACTGCCCCTCCCTTCTCTTTCACTCTTTCTCTCTATATATAAATGTATATATATGTATCTTATTTTAAGATATTTAAGCAAAGTATCTGGAATATTACCTGTGAAATAACAAATACTAAATAATGAAAATATTTATCCCATACTAATTTTAACTAAATTCATTATTAATTTGACAATTATATTAAATTACAGGGTTTACTTTAAATTATTACACATTGGAAGTAAGAGAATTATAAAAGAACTCCAACCACACTATTAGGGCTTAAATATGTGACTGATATATATACAAAAACTGTCACCATCGTCATATCTTACCTGCAGGTATCAGACTGATTATATTCATATAGTTTCTTTTCCAGGTCCAATCTCTTCTTCTCACTACCATACAGAAAGAAAACACTTTGTAACTGATTATGTAACTATAAGCAGTCAGATTTAGACCATGACCTCTTTCAAAATCATATCTTTGGGCTTTGTGAAAAATGCCTCTCCAGTCTCTCTAGGAAGCTAAAAAACACCAGATGCATTGGAAACAATGCCATGGAAATACTCACCAGTCATCAAGGAAGTCTAAAAATCAAAACAGACTCTAATATGAAGCAACAGTAAGAGATGATCCAAGTCAATAAGGAGACACAGTAGGAGAAGGCTGGGAAGTAGGTTTGTTCCTTCGGCAAATCTTTCTTAAGCACCTAAGATGAGCAAGAGGCTGCTCTCAACCTGGAGATCACCGTGGTGAGCAAGCCTCTGCCTTCGGGGGAAGCACAGGCAGTAACCAAGCTTGTGCAGACAACATGGCCCGATCTCCCTGAGTCAGTGGCATCTGGGGCCCCAACATGCCTGGACATGGAGCTTCCCAGGTGTTCTCAGTCAGACAAGCGGATGTTAGCAAAGGCTCTTTGACAGGCAATGTTGGCCTTACGTACATGTAATGAAGCTGGGTCTATGTCTACTAACTCTATCACTTCGAATGTTGGGGAAATTCTTTTTATAACTTTGTAAAGTTGTCATTATTTATTACCGACTCTGTTTCCCAGAAGCCGTCACCGATAAACATCTGTGATGACGAGGTGATGCTGGCAGAGGAGAAAGCCTGTCTTATCCCATCCACCCCAGCCTCGACAAGCAGCAAGGAAAACTGCAGCAGAGGGGCCAGCAGCAGCCAACATCAAGTGGCAGGTGAAACCGCCCCACGGGAGATCCCTGGCAGGTTCAATCACAGAGCGCTCCACTAGGACGCTTCAGTCCCACCTAAGGGACGCCAAAGTGTGACTCTAACACCAGTGAATGGTCCAAAGAGAAATCACAGAGTATCTGGGAGAAGGACTGAAACAGGGATGAGGACTCCAGCAGAAGGGGCTCTCGGGCAGGCCTCCTGAGGAAAAGCCGCCAGCCACACTGTCTCTGCATGAGCTCTGAATTACTCATTTGCTTCCTTTCATATTTTTTTCTATAAAAAAAAATCCCAAAAGTTACTCTGATAGCTACATTATAGGTTAAATAAATGTCTTTCGCTAACATAATCTTAAATGGAAACATCATTTAACCAAAATTCTTTCAATGGGAAAACACAGTTCAAAATCTAAACACAGAATCTTTGCTTTACAATTCTTTCCTCAGTTGAGGTCTGAACATATTAAAAAGGATAAAAGAGGAACAGCATTGTGGAGCAGCAGGTTAAGCTGCTGCCCGGAATGCCAGCCTCCCATGGGAGCGTGGGATCAAATCCCGCTGCTCCACTTCCAATCCAGCTCCCTGCTAATGCACTTGGGAAAGCAGCAGAGGCTGGTCCAAGTATGTGGACCCTTGTCACCCACGTGAGAGACATGGATTGAGTTCCAGGCTCCTGGCTTCAGCCTTGCCCAGCCCTGGCCACTGCAGCTATTTGGGGAGTGAATGAGTAGATAGAAGATCAATTGATCGGTTGATCTCTTTTCCTCCTTCACTCCCTCCCTCTCCTTCTCCCTCTGTAACTGAGTCTTTCAAATAAAAAAAATTTTTTTAAAAGAACAAAATACTAAAAGGAAAAAACATAAAAACACCTTTTTAACCAATAGCTTCACACAGATCTTTGCTTTCTTATTAACAAGACTTAGAATAGAAGCAAAGGAGTACACTGTGGTAACTGCTTCCCCATTAGGAATTTCTATTAGCCATTTTCTTCCTTCTAAAGTTTCATGATCAGTCAGGTGCTTAGCTCAGGAAGAATGAACGATTGGATAGTGCAAGCAATGTGTCCCTAAGTTACCAGGGCAGAAAGAGCATTAACCGTTGGCTCTCAGGCCCTGGGCCCCGACCAAATGCTTCATTTCTGTGCTATCCCAGCAAGGCAAGTATAATGGCAGTCTGGTCATGAGGAGCTGTCAGATAGACCCAGGTTGCAGGCCACAGCAAGGGTTGTGTGGGGATCACGTTCAGGGCGTCATTCTGTCTTGGAACTACACACTGGAGACTTCAGGAGTGAGGGGACATCACATCTGCAGTTCCCAGATGGTTCCAAAAAGACTAATGTGTTGCTCCCCCATTCGCGGAGGAAACGACACAGGACCCTGCGCTGTTCTTTTGTCTGCTCAGCCCTTCCCGGGTTTACTGCTGGTCCTTCCCGGGTTGGCTGCCGACCCCTCCACCTCCGTGGAGGGGCAGCTCCCCCTGCCACTTTCCCCACTTCCGCGGGGGAGCGGCACACCGCCGGCCGGCTCTCTGGGGGGCTGCTCAGGTGTTCCTTCAGATGTTTCCCGGTGCATGTTGTCTCTTTCCTCCTTTCTAGTCCTCTTCCACCAATCCCAACTCTGCTACCCACACGCTGAGCATGCTGCTCTCCTCCAATCAGGAGCAGGATCAGCTCCTGCAGCTCATCAGTCAAGTTGGCAAGAGGCAGCTGCATAGAAGTTGTTTGGTCCTTTCTCAGAGCCATATTGTGGGAGAGCAGATGCATAGAATAAGTCTTAATTCCAGTAACTTAGTCTAGTCCGAGTTGCTCCCCACACTAATGGTCTTAGACGGGCAGACAGAGAGAATGAATGTGGAATAAAATGTCAAGAGCTACAGAACGTGGGTGTGGGAATACACAGGCCTCGGTTCTGCATCTGTAACTTGTTATTAGCCTGAACGTATTTTAAAGTAAGGTTTTTTTTAACCTTTTTTTTTATTTTTTATTTTTGACAGGCAGAGTGGACAGTGAGAGAGAGACAGAGAGACAGGTCTTCCTTTGCCGTTGGTTCGCCATTTGGTTCACCCTCCAATGGCTGCCCCAGCCGGTGCACTGGGGCCAGTGCACCGCACCGATCCGATGGCAGGAGCCAGCTACTTATCCTGGTCTCCCATGGGGTGCAGAGCCCAAGCACCTGGGCCATCCTCCACTGCACTCCCTGGCCACAGCAGAGAGCTGGCCTGGAAGAGGGGCAACCGGGACAGAATCCGGCGCCCCGCCGGGGACTAGAATGCCTCCTGGTTAACAGGGAACGTGAAACATGTTCTGTTCTTGTCCTCTCTTCAGCAGATGCAGGCACTCACTGCCATGCTTCTCGTCTCTTCCACACCACGTTGCGTGCTGACAATCTACAACCCGACACCTCAGGGCCTTCCACTCCATGCAAAACGGTGCTCTTCAGGCTCACTCTTCACCACAGGCCCGCTTTCTGTGTCCCCCAACACGCTGCAGTTCCTCGGAACGTTATGTGCTTCAGACCTGCTGTAAATGCAAGACTTAGAGCCACATATTTCTGGCTGGTACAGGCTTTTGGGGAGTGAACCAGCAGATGGAAGAGCTCGCTCTGCCATCCGCTCTGCCTCTGTCTCTGTGTGTGTGTGTCACTCTGCCTTTCAAGTAGATAAAAATGAATAAACATATTTAAAAAAACCTGACATTCACCCCCAATGAAATGCCAAGGAAAGGCGTATTGATAGCGTCACCTTATAATTCCTCCTCATTAAATCTGTCTCTGAATCTTTATAAACCCAGCCCTGGGACGCTTAGCCACCGTCCCGTGCTTTACAGGTGAGTGGTCCCTCTGTGGTTATGCTTTCTCCTTTTAAACCACTTGCTATTCTTTTTTCTATCTCAATACCACCACTCTCCACCATCATCAGCTACACTTAACTAATATCACACTATCAATTTCTGGACTCTTATGATATCTGACCCTGAATCAATACTGGTATTGAAAAAGCTGGGGCTGGCTAATGGACCTTTTAAAGGGAGGCTTTTCTATAACTGTGGGAGTCAATGGTACTTATATGCTTCTCCCATGTCTGCAGGCACTATACACCCTGTACTGAGTCACTTCAGTGGACTCTTCGATTCAATTAATTTCTTTCACCACAACACAGAGAAAATACCATGCACACATGGGAAAACATTCAGACTCTAAAACTGCATCTATGTGTGATAAGAGATAGAAACGCACCCATTATGAAGGAAAGGACTGGTTATTAATCCAGCTAACATCACAATGACTACCTCTAAAAGCACTGAGAAAGGGGAGTTGTTTGTTTTGTTGTTGTTGTTGTTGTTGTTGTTGTTTTTAACCTACCACTTACTAAGGGTCTGAATTGAAAAACCAGCTGTGACTACCCTGGGTTGCACCCTTTGAAATGACTATGGCATTTTGGAAGGCCATGAGCCCTAGGATTGGTAAAAAAAAAAAAACCTAAAACACTCACATAGGACACAGGCAATAACAATCTTTATGTACTGCTTTGCAAAATTATGGCTTTCAGCTTTAAAAAAAAATATTTATCTATCTATTTGAAAGGCAAACTTACAGAGAGGGACAGAGAGATAGGACTTCTATCTGCTGTTTTACTCCCCAAATGGCTATAACAGGTAGGGCTGGGCCAAGTCAAAGCCAGGAGCTTCTTACAGGTCTCCCATGTGGGTGCAGGAGCCCAGGTACCTGGGCCATCTTCTACTGCTTTCCTAGGCTCATCAGCAGGGAGCTGGATCAGAAGTGGTGCAGCCAGAACCCAAGCTGGAGCCCATATGGGACAGCACCTCAACCTGCTGCACTACAATGCAGACCCCAGCTTTCAATTTTTTTTTTTTTTTAAAAAGGTGCATTCAGGGCAGGAACTATAGTGTAGTAGGCTAAGCCTCCTCCTGCAGTGCCAACATCCCATATGGGCACTGGTTTGTGTCCCAGCTGCTCCTCTTCCAATTCAGCTCTCTGCTATGGCCTGGGAAAGCAGTGGAAGATGGCCCAAGTACTTGGGCCCCTGCACCCACGTGGGAGTTCTGGAAGAAGCTCCTGGCTCCTGGCTTCAGATCAGCCCAGCTCCAGCCATTACAGCCCTTGGCAGAGTGAACCAGTGGATGGAAGACCTCTCTCTCTCTATCTCTCCTCTCTGTAACTCTACCTCTCAAATAAATGAATAAAATCTTTTTTTTTCTTTAAAAAAAAAGGCCCATTCATAGAAGGAAGAAATTCAAAGACTTCCTTTACATCTTAATCAAGCTCTTCTTTTCTTTTCTTTTTTTAAAGATTAATTTATTCATTTGAAAGTCAGAGTTAGCAACAGAGGCTAAACCACTGCTCAGAGTCACACAACTGTTCATGGCCGAGAAGCCAGGTTTCCAGTTTCTACTGCATCTTTCTCTGTATCTAAAGTTATTTGCCTCCTTGCTTGTGTGTATTATGCATTAATTAGATTTAGTTATGGATTCTTAAAATGAAAAATGAATTCACACAGCAACAGATTTGTACTGACTTCATAATAAAACAAACCTCCAAATGCAGAACCATGTATAGGCCATAAAATCAAACTCAAATTCCTTGTATAATTTCAACAGCCTCACTTTGCTTAATAATTAAAGAAATAAGTGTTAAACATAAATTGAGTTATCATTACGCTTATTGTACCATAAGGGCTATAAACAGCCAGGTGTTCCTAGCACAGGAAGCAAAAATGATAACTCACAATTAACTAAGTTCCAAGAAGAGTGTCCGTTAAACCAATAAGATTTTAAAATCAGGGCTTGGGATAAGAGATACAAATAACACAGACCTGGGACAAGTAGCCACTCCTCTAACAGAACAGACTATCAGCCAAAATCCATTTTAAGTGTACTGAAACACAACAGTTTGCTTGTGCAGACACGTAATACTGTCTTGGAAATATGACACAATCCAATTCTCCGGGTTGAATGGAAAATGGTCAGGGTAGCTCCTGGGCTTACTGGTGACATTCCTACTTCCCAGACATTAGCCAGTTGACCCTGGAACTGCTCCCTTTCATTCAGTACATAGGAATCAAGCCCCGTGTTCCCCACAGACACTGTCTCAAGAGCTCAGTCTAGGCAAAGTGCAGGTCACTCAAGCACCTCTCTGGAATGCTGTAGGAATGCCAAGATTGTAAAAGGTAGGGAACTGCTTGGGGGAGGGAAGGCTCTGGCAGAAGCCACCTTTTCTAAAGCAGGAAATGAAGAGGTCAGTGAGACAGGTGAGAAGGGGGAGATCAGAAAGAACATAGGACCAGCGCCGCGCACCGGGTTCTAGTCCCGGGCGGGGCGCCGGATTCTGTCCCGGTTGCCTCTCTTCCAGGCCAGCTCTCTGCTGTGGTCAGGGAGTGCAGTGGAGGATGGCCCAAGTCCTTGGGCCCTGCACCCCATGGGAGACCAGGATAAGTAGCTGGCTCCTGCCTTCGGATCAGTGTGGTGCGCTGGCCCCAGCACACCGGCTGGGGCGGCCATTGGAGGGTGAACCAACGGCAAAGGAAGACCTTTCTCTATGTCTCTCTCTCTCTCACTGTCCACTCTGCCTGTCAAAAATTAAAAAATAAATAAAAATAAAAAAAATAATAAAAAAAGAAAGAACATAGGACTGGGAAAAGGAACAAGAAGTAAAATACCATGAGGACAGTAAGGTCTACTGCAGATGGTCTGTAATCATGAGTAGAGTACTTCAAAAGCTCATGGGAATGAAAAAACTATGCATGGATTTCCAAAACCACTTGCACCAAAATAAACTTATTTTTAATTGTTTTTCTGTGATCTTTCTGAAGCACCCTCATACAGGACAGGCATTAAATCTAGCATAAGAGGAACGCAATTCCTTTTCAAAATAACTTCTGCCTTTACCTCACATGTAACTACTGTATTGTTAACACTTCCGAATTGTCACATACATGGCTCTGCTGCTCACTAAAGATGACTTTGCAACCTTGAACGCTCCTCAAACATTGCTTATCAAGAGATCCAAGCATCTAACTTCCTTTCTTGTCAACAATGAGATTTCCAACTCCAGCGAACTACGCAGCTCCATGAGGGTCCCCAACAACTTCTCGTTCATGTGGCTTTGCACGGTAAACTGCTTTCTAAATGTTCTCTCTGGGCAGTGCATCCCACCCTGTATGGCTCAAGCAAAGACATCACAAATCTTCTGGAAGCGGGACTGCTCTCACTAGAAACGTCATGCCTTCCTTCTCTGGACATCTAGCCAGCACCCCCCACCCAAACAAAACCCCTGTGTTTAAACAGGACAGACGCTGACAATCGTACACACTCCCTCTCCCCGGACCTGTCACCGCGGAGGCGGTGCCAACTGTCAGAACGGGATGACAGTGTGCAGAGGGAGCGGGGAGGAGCTGCGTCGAAGGGGGGGGGGGGGGCGCGAGAAGTGGCCGGGCTGGATGGAGTGACAGGCAGGAGAACCCCCACTCTCGTGTCCCGGCGGATTCAGGGACGCAAGCTGCCTCTGCCCGGCTTCACTCCGTCGCTGCTGGGGGAGAAGGGGGTCCCACTTCTCTCCGATCCCACCTCCAATGCAGAGGGTGTCTCTGGTAAACTCAGTACTCCAAGCAACCTCCCACCCCATCGAAAGCTTGGGGGGGTTCACGGTGGGCCAGGCAGGGCCGGGCCGGGCCGGGCCCCGCGCGGGCAGAGGGAGCCGGAAGGAACACGAAGGCCCGGCCCCCAGGAGACCCCCGGCGCCGGCTGATTCCCCGCCCGCGCCCCTAGCTGCCGTACCTGTCCCGCAGCCCGTGCTGGAGGTGGCCCAGCCTCTCGTAGTACTCGGGGCTCGCCAGCGGCAAGGATGAGGCGGGAGTCCGGCGCATGCCGCCGAGCCAGCTCCGCACCGCCTACGGACAAGCAGTGGGCCGCGTTGTCCTAGGAGACGGCCCCACCATGCACCGCGGGTAAACACACCGCTAGGCCGCCCGCAGGGGCGGGGCGCCGGCTGCAGGGGGCGGGGCGCCGTAGAGCGTGGGGCCAGCCGCCGTCGAGGGGCGGGGAGGAGGGCTCACAGGGGGCGGGGCGGAGGCGGGGCACCGTGGAGGGGCGGAGTCGGAGGCCTGAGGAGGCGTGGCGCAGCGGAAGCCGGGACCGAGCGGCCCTCCCGCCCTCCTGCTGGGGTTTGCAGAGGAAAGCTGCGGACGCCGGCGACTGCGGGCAGAGCTTGGACGTCTAGCGGGCGTCCTGTGGGCTCGGTCCCGTCTTCCAGTGCCCCGCCCAGTGGCCACGGGCGAGTCACCCTCTCCTCACGCAGATTGTCTGTCACTGCGGGATTAGTGTAGCCTCGGATGGGCTGACACGTGTTGGTGTTTGTGGGAGGACTCCGCACTTCGTGGGCGACTTAAACTGGTCAACTGACCAGTAAGTAAGAGCCGCGGGACGCACGACCGTTGAAAACGTTACTCGGAAAATCGTGTTTGCCAGGCTCAGAGCGAGAGTACCAAGGAGGCCTGCGTACCCGGATATTGAAAAGTTACGAAACTGCGGATGAAATAGGCCAGGCGGCCACTGCTCCGCGACCAGTAAGGCCGGCTAAGAACCTGGGAGGCTAGGCGGACCCCTCCCCCAGCCGGCTGCCTCACCCCCGCCCCCCCACAGTCAGCCCTACACGACGGGAAGGCGGCGTGTGCCCGGCCTGCTCTCCTGGCTCACATCCGCTCTCAGCTCCCGCCTGGCGTGAGGCTGAGCAAGGAGGACTGTCCGTCCTTGCGGGAATGACCTAGGAGGGTGATCGCAGATGGCCTGGGAGAGCAGCCTGGGCACCTGGGAGTGGGCAGTGGGCAGTGGCCGGGTGCCGGGGGCCTGCACGGAGTGTTCCCCGGCCACGGGGACGTCTTCCCAGCCGGAACAGGCCCTTGTAAGACACAGAAATGGGGGAAGGGACCCTCTTCTCCAGATCTAAGGGTGGCACCTAAGTGATGTTTAATTAGTCGGTATATCAATGTACCAAACTGATTCCGTGGTAGTGTACAAAGATTTATTTTATTGATTTCAATGTAACTGACTGACTGCTACAAACCTGTCAAAAATGCATTATAGTTTTAGGATATTTTAATCGGGCCTACCCCACCTAGATTAGCTTTTTAAGGGGAAGAAAAATACCCAAACAATGACTGTAACTCATTACTGCCAAAAAATAGCAAAGAGCAAGCGGATGAGGCCGTCATTTAGCAACCCAAATTTTTATTAGGCCATTTTAGGAGAGTCTAAAATTAAATACAATTAAACAGTAAATAGATAATTCAAAATAATTATGATTTGTATCCTGTGCTTCATTCATTAATGACATATGACAAATCGAGATGTGGGGCCCTTTTTAGTCACAATAACACATAGCAAATGAATTTTTCTAGAGTATTTATGCAAAAATTATGCATTCTAAATGGCGACAGATTTTTAATAAATTCGGCGTTCTTTACGTTGAATATTTAATTTGCCGCGCACTCTTAGTGTTTTCTTCAGTTCTCCATCTTAGCAGATGGGTCATAGAGCCTGCCTGGACAGTAAAGGCGCTAAGTCCCAGAAAGGTCTCAGCCAGAAGTTGGAGGAAATCTAGCCTTTCTCCCTCATTTTACAGAGGAGGGAAGTGGCTCAGGGCAGGTAGGAGATTTGGTCAAAGTCACACAGCTGGTAATCTGCATAATATTAATGAACCAAGTCCAAAATATGAGTTCCTAATAGCCTCATTAAGCAAATGCAAAGGAAGCCAGTGTCTCAGCCAGTAGCCGTATGGATCTTAGGATGAACTTAATGAAGTTGCTGTTTTGTTGCTCAGAACCAACTGAGTTAATGAATGGGAAAATTCTGCAGTTATTTTACATTTTAAAATATAAACATCCTGCTTTTCTTTTTTTACATATTTGAGTCAACAGTGGCTTGGATCTTATATTATTAAGTTTGCTGGACTGCCATAACAACGTACCGCACACAGGGCAGCTTTCACAACAAGATTTACTGTCTCACAGTACTGAGGCTGGGGTGTAAGGCCAAAGAGAGCTGCTGCCTCAGACCTGTCTCCCAGCCTCTGCCTGGATGTTCACAAGGCATCCTCCCTGTATGTGGGTCTCCCAATATCCCCTTTTTATTAAGGCACCATCATATTACATTAGGGATCCACCCTCCTCCAGTGTGACCTCCTCTTAACTAATTATATCTGCCATGACCCTGCTTCCAAATGTCACATTCTTTTTTTTTTTTTTTTTTTTTTTTTTTTTTTTACAGGCAGAGTGGACAGTGAGAGAGAGAGACAGAAAGGTCTTCCTCTTGCTGTTGGTTCACCCTCCAATGGCTGCCGCGGCCGGCGCACCACGCTGATCCAGTGGCAGGAGCCAGGTACTTATCCTGGTCTCCCATGGGTGCAGGGCCCAAGGACTTGGGCCATCCTCCACTGCACTCCCGGGCCACAGCAGAGAGCTGGCCTGGAAGAGGGGCAACTGGGACAGAATCCGGCGCCCCGACCGGGACTAGAACCAGCACCGCAAGGTGGAGGATTAGCCTAGTGAGCCGCGGCGCCGGCCAATAATGTCACATTCTAAGGTACAGAGAGAATCAGGAGTTGAACATATAAGGATATGTTTAAATCCATATTTATTAGCTCTTCCTTGCTACGATGAAATACCTGGGACAAGCTACTAATGAAAGAAGGTGGTTTGCTTTGGCTCACGGTTTTATTTTTTTTAAAGATGTATTTATTTATTTGAAAGAGTTATATATAGAGAGAAGGGGAGGTGTAGAAAGAGAGAGGTCTTCCATCCGCTGGTTCACTCCCCAGTTGGCTGCAACGGCTGGAGCTGCACCAATCTGAAGCCAGGACCCAGGAGCTTCTTCCAGGTCTCCCATGCGGGTGCAGGGACCCAAGAACTTAGGCCATCTTTTACTGCTTTCCCAGGCCATAGCAGAGAGCTGGATTGGAAGTGGAGCAGCCAGGTCTTGAACCGTCGCCCATAGGGGATGCCAGCACTGCAGGCAGTGGCTTTACCCACTACACCACAGCACCGGCCTCTTGGCTCACAGTTTTAGAGGTACACAGTCTAACACTGAGCAGGCCCCATTGGTTCAGTCATCTGGTGAAGCTGGAGTTTGGTAATGGCAGAGAGCATGTGGTGGAAGGATCACATGGCAAGCCAGGATGCAGAAACAGTAGACAGGTGCAAACTCAGCTTCTATCACCAACCCTCCTGTGAGAAATACCTTCCGCAGGCATGCCTCAGTGACCCAAGGACCTCTCACCAGGCACACCTGCCCAACACAATTCCGTCACCTCTCTTCCCTCCCAGCACCATCAATCCATGACCTTGGGGCTTAAAGTCCTACGTGAGTTAAGGAGCCTGATCATGTTCAAGCTATTGTACCATTATAGTTATGATCATGGGAAATATTTCATTTTGCAATCACTATGCAGAAATATTAGCCACTGTACCTTACACCATAAGAAAATTCAGTAGAGATGAATCAGACATAGAAGGAAGGAGGAAAGGCTGTGATAACAATGTATGTGTGTATATAATCCCTCCCACCATTGAGCATTTTCTAGTCTAGACCCACAGCAGTCGTTTGAGGTCAGCACAAGTTTAAGTACCTGACCCCAAATCATACTGCCACTGGATTCTTGTGAAGCTAATGGGATTGAAGGATTTGGACATGGGCCTGTGCAATTCCATCATCTCTTCTCTTCCCTTCTCTTCCCTTGAAACTCATCTCTTGACAGCTATTGGGTTTTTTTTTTCCTGTGTGATGCATCAGTCTATTTACTTTCTCTAATAACACAATACTACCAACTGGATAATTTTTAAGCATAGAGGTATATTGTGGAAGTTTGAAGATCAAAATCAGGTAGTCCCATTGGTTCCACCTCTGCTGACAGCTTTCTTTCTGGCAGAGTCCTGAGGAGGTTCAGGACATCACAGGGTAAGAGACACGGAGCGTATATGTGTGTCTCTTTTCATCTCTCTGCATCTTTCTTTTTAAGGTTTATTTATTTACTTTGCAATAAATAGTGATGGAGGGAGAAAGAGAGAGACATGGAGAGAGGGAGATCTTCCATCTGTCGGTTCATTCCCCAGATGTTTGCAGCATCAAAATCTGGGCCAAGCTGAAGCCTGGAACCAGGAACTCCATCCTGGTTTTGGATGTGGCTGACGGGAGCCCAAGTACTTGGGCCACCTTCCACCGCCTTCACAGGCTCATTAGCAGGAAGCTGGATTGGAAGTTAAGTAGTCAGGACTCAAACCAGCGCTCCTATATAGGATGCCAGCATTGTATATGGCAGTTTAACCCACTATGCTGCAATGCAAGCTCCTCTCCCCATCTTCAGTCCACAGGACTTAATCATGAGTGCTCCTCCCTAATGACCCAATCTAACCTTAATGACCTCCCAAAGATCTCACCTCTAAACACCATTTTCTGACCACTTACTGCCTCACAATGGGGATTACATTTCAACACCTGAAGCCCTGGGGGTCAAACCACATCCAAGTCACGGCACATACGAGGTATAAAATATATTCTACCTGACCCAGAAGGCTTTTTACCAATACAGTTTATTGTGTAGGGAACAACATGCGTGTACATGGAATGCATTTTCCTACATGGTGTGATGCAGCATTAGGTCTTCGCTATTCTGTTTAACCTTCCCCCTTGGTGCTCTAAAAGGTTTCATTTTCATCCGTTCCAGGAGTTAGGTCTGTGCACCAAGTTTGCTCCATGATATGTAAGCAGCAGTGGTGCAGCACTGCCTAGCCTGTTTCCAAAACATCCTGAACAATTTCCCTCAGTTATTCGTTGGCGGGCTGGGTGCACAGGTGAGTCCTTGGGAAACTCTGAGGCTCTGGAAGAAGAGTGAATGGCTGCAAAGAGTATGAGACTGACTTGAGCAGGAAAGAAACCGTTGTGGCATTGGTTTTGGGATTGTTTGCTTCAGCAGCTGGCATTGCTTACCCTAATTAATATGCAGGTGTCCCATGCAGAGACTGCACAAATGCTTCAACATACCTTTGCTCAAGATTCTCGTTAAGGATTTATGCCACTCTCCAGGTGGTTAGGGAGACTGCAAACCTGGAAGAGTAAGATTTAAGAGTCGTTCAGTGTACAAGGAGAGAGGCCTAGGGAATGAAGCAAGGCTATACAGTGAAGAACCGTCTAGAGCAGGGCTTTCTGCAATGTTGGAAATGTTCCATTCTGCACTGTCCAATATGGTAACAGCTAGCTTGGCTGTTAAGCAAATGAACGTAGCAGTGCAACTGAGGGCTTGAATTTTCAATTTTTATAGATAAAACAATGGTAAGAGACCACAGGTAGCTAGTAACTACTGTGTTAGGCATTGAAAATATACAGAAAACGGAAAGTTGAATACACATGTGCAAAGAGGGTGGACGTATAGCACCAGGTAGTAGAAAGATAGAAAATAAAAGCTGTCATCCTCCTTGGGAGGTGATGGTAGTCAAGAGAGGAGGTGT